CAGAGCCGCCGGGTTCCTCCTCCGCGGAACCCCGCCTCCACTCACTCCTCCTCCGCCTCCAGCGACACCTCGTATCTCCTCAATGCCGACATGTCCTGGGCTCCGAACGTCTCCTGGAGAGCGGCATGATTGAATCAATGATTCCCCCGCCCCAGGTCACCTTCTTGGTCATTCTCAGGACGGGCCTGACTAGTTCTCAGATAACCTGGGGCAAGCGTCCCCGGGAAGCCTCAGTTGCCACATCCGGACAGGGTGGGATTGCAAATTTGGGAGGCACTAGAATAAGGGGTTTGGTAGGTCATCTCGGGGGCCCGGGGCGTTTAGGAGGCCAGGGAGAGAGGTTTGGCGGTCATGGGGCTGGGAGATTTGGGCCCTAGGTGAGGATTTTCAGGGGCTGGGGTCACCTGGAGGGGGGCTGAGGGGTCGGCGCAGCCTAAACTCCCGCCCTCCCTGGCTCCACCCCGGAAATGGACCGTTACCATTACGCCACCAGGGACGCCGTCGCGCACTAGGGGCGGATCTTGCCTATCACCCGGAAGGGGTGGAGTCAGCACTTCTCCCAGAGAAGCGGAGTCAATACGTCACGCTAGAAGGTGGAGCCAGAGGCGGAGTCGGGGTTTATTAGCATGCGGGGCTCAGGGCCCTCGGTTACAAGGATGGAATCGGATTCGGAAGCTGTTTTCTGGGAGGCGGGAGCTTCAGCACCAGCCAGCAGGGAAAGAGCGGTGGGACCCCGCCCAGTACAGTTTTCCCAATCCTCACTCCTCTATCCCCCCTGCCTGGCTTCTGCCTTGCCTAGTGCCTTTGTTGCCTGCCCCACTCACCTTGTATGACCTTGGGCTGAGGAGGAATAGGCCCCCGGAGAGAACCCAGTCTAAAACAGCTCAGGCTATGGAAGTACTTGGCTGAGTGACCTTGGCCAAGTTACTTAATGGCCAAAAGGTCATAGCACTTTCTATCTCAGCTGAGACCTATCTTTCTATGACATTTTTTCCCCCTACATTCAATCAACAAATATCGAATGAGTGTCTATTACATGGCAGGCACTGTGCTGGGCACGGGGATATAGTAGTAAAGAAGACAGGCACAATCCTACCTCAGAGAGCTTATCATCTGGGGTAGAGTTTAGAAGGTCAAAAGGAAACAATCAGATCATTACAATAAACCTAGCAGGCTGGCTGCAGAAGTATAGGGTGCTGCAGTAGAGCCAAGAAAGGGCAATTAACACAGGGTAGAAGGTTGGAAATAGCTGCCCCCGACCTCTGACATCCCAGCTAAGGCCCAGTACTGAGCCATAGTTGGTCTGGGGAGGGGGAAAGAGAGCCTTATGGGAACCTTATGGGAGAGAGTGGCCAGAAATGAGTAAGGTGAAAGTTTCTTCAGGTTGAAATGTGAGGAATGGATTCCTCTGTCCTCTCCCGCATCCAACCTTTCTTCTCCTTCTCTCTTTTTTTTTTTTTTGAGTTGGAGTCTCACTCTGTCACCCAGACTGGAGTGCAGTGGCCGCTCCCGGCCACCACTGCCTTGACCTGCTCGGCTCTGGCAATCCTTCTGCCTCAGCCTTCCAAGTAGCTGGAACTACAGGTGCACGCTACCACGCCTGGCTAATTTTTTGATTTATTGTATAGATGAGGTCTCACCAAGTTGCCCAGGTGGGTCTCGAACCTGTGGGCTCAGGCAGTCCACTCACCTTAGCCTCCCAAAGCATGGGATTACAGGCTGAGCCACCCAGCCTGGCTTCTTCTCCTCATACCTGTCTTCCTCTGCCTGAACTACATACAAATAGCAGACAGATCCGTAGGTGCCAGGGGGCTTTATGGAAAGCATTGCAGTCTGGATGTGGAGAAGCTGTGCTCTCATCACACTCACTCTCTCGCTTACACTCACTGACACTGATACTCTAGGCCTGCCATAGCTGAATCAGGTCTGATACAGGGGAGCAGGAGGCCTGGTCCGTCCTTGCAGTCTTTGGTGCGCCTGGCCAGGGCTCTCTCTGGCATAGTCATGGGCTAACTGCTATGGCTCTTGCTCCGAGGAAGGAAGGAGAGGGAGGAATCTTAGGGGCTCAGAGGGAGGAGACAGCGCCAAGGAGGGCCAGGCTTGCCTTGGCAGAGGTCTTCTGTGATCCACCCAGATCTGGTTTGGGGGTGGTCAGAGCTGGTGGCCCCTGGTGAATCTGGAGTCAGAGAATGAAGTCCTGAAACTCAGCTTCCTGGAAGGGCCTGGTGTGAGGGTCAGAAGCTGAGGACCACATCCAGAAGCTTTAGGGACTTTCTTGTGGGAAGGACTAGGCAAGGAAAAGGGAAATAAGATAGTTATGGAGACCTGCATATTGGAGGAAGTGATTGGGAGGGGAGGAGCCTGGACACTCTCCACCCCTCATTCACAGGATGAAGTACCCTGCAGCCATCCTTGAGGAGGGGATAACAGAAGGCACCAAAAATGTTCCCAGGAATTGGGTGTTGGTTTACTGAGAGGCAGGTTCCTCAAAATCATTGGCATCACTCAGAGCTGGGGGGTGAGATTAGCTTTAGGGCTTAAGCAACCCTAAGGTAGGAAAGCAACAACCCTGACTGGAATTCAGGATGTCTGTACCCAGTGCCATAGATTTAGTGTTGCTCTGTCCTCCACTCAAATGCACTGTCCTCCTCTTCCTCTGAAAAACCCAGGATAGGCCAGGTGCAGTGACTCAAATCTGTAATCCCAGCATTTTGGGAGGCCAAGGCGAGAGGATTGCCTAAACTCAGGGGTTTGAGATAAAAATTTTAAAAATGCAAGTGCAAGCAGTTTTTCTTTTTTGAGAAACTCACCTATGGCAGATCTTTCTGCCATGAATCATCCTTTTTCTTTCTATTCTTCTCGATAATAAGTGAGGACCAGCTGGAGGCCCAAACTTTACCTGCATGCAGCCTACTTGTGTAGCTAATCCTGACTTGTACCACACACCTCTATTAATAAAAAAAGTAGGGAGAATCTTGCTGGACACTTTCCCTTTAAACCTGTGGAGTCTGGGTGGTTGGTGTCAGAAGGGAATTGCAGTACACAGGAATTGGTAGCAGAATAACTCCCCAATGGATACATTTTCCTTCATCTTCATTGTGAGAGAGCCTCTTTTATCCGCACCTGTTTCTCACTCATTGGTTTCTGCTCTTAGAATCTCAGCAATCAGCAGTTTGGACAAGGGGAGGAGGGTTTGCACTGTTGCCCTTAGGGGAAGGTTTGCAGGATCTGTAATGTTGTCTCCTTGGAGACATTTAAATAGTCAGTCTCAGCAGAGCTCCGTGGCTCAGCCTGTAATTCGGCAACTTGGGAGGCCGAGGAGAATAAATTGCCTGAACCCGCAGGTTCAAGACCCGCCTGGGCAACTTGGCAAGACCGCATCTCTACAATAAATAAAAAAAATTAGCCGGGCATGGTAGTGTGTGCCTATAGTTCCAGCTACGTGGAAGGCTGAGACGGAACGATTGCCGGAGCTCAGCAGGTCGAGGCTGCGGTGGCCAGGAGCATGCCACTGCACTCCAGTCTGGGCGACAGAGTGAGACTCCCAACTCAAAATAAATAAATAAATAAATAGTCTCAAGACTGGGAGTCAGGGTTTGGTTCAGGATTAGAGGTCAGACCCTATGAGACAGACCAAAGGAGGAGACCTCTCAGGAGAGACTATTGTGGGGTGCATTCTGTTTCCCTCTCCCAGCCCTAGAGTATATGATGTGACAGATTTAACTGTGGGCCTGTATTTTTCTGCCCCATCCATCCATGCATCCATCCATCCATGTGTCTATATGCCCATCCATCTTTTTCTCTTTGCCAGACCATTTTTTCTTCTTCCATCTTTACTTTCATCTGTCTTTTCATATCTTCATCTCCACTTATTCATCTGTCTATTCAATGATTATTCATCAATTAATGCATTCATTTATTTCTTTATCAGTTATCAGGATATTATTCATCTATTTATCAAGCACCATGCTAAATGCTTTAAGTTCATTATCTCATGACAGATCTATGAAGTAGAATGCTGTGGGCTGTTTTTGTTCACTCAGACCACTTTTCTGTACTTCTTTTTCTGCCTCTTTTAGGGAACTCCTCTTCCACTTATTGTGGTCTTGATGGGACTGTCACCTACAGTGCTCTGATCAGAGTACCCCATTTCCTGTTCACTATGATAGATCAAAGAACTGAGTATGTATCACAATCACAGTTAGCTAGAGCTTTTCATGAGATTTGATGTTTGGATGCTAGGAGGAGGGTCTCTGTTTAAAATCAGTAATTATAATAATGTAGACTTGAGGCTTCCAGTGACCATATTTCCTGCTTCTAGAAGAACACCTGTGTCTTAGTCCATCTTCTGTTGTTTATAACAGAGTACTCAAAACTGGATAATTTATAAAGAAATAGAATTTTTTTTTTTAAACTGTAGTCTTACTCTGTCACCCAGGCTGGAGTGCAATGGCATGCTCACGGCCACCACGGCCTTGACCTGCTGGGCTCAGGTGATCCTTCCACTTCAGCCTTCAAAGAAGCTGGAACTACATCTGGCTAATTTTTTGATGTATTGTGGAAATGAGGTCTTGCCAAGTTGCTGAGACTGGTCTTGAACCCGTGAGCTCAGACAATCCTCTCACCTTGGCCTCCCAAACTGCTGGGATTATAGGCATGAGCCACCATGTCTGGCCTATAATTTATTTCTTATGGTTATGGAGGCTGAGAAGCCCAGGATTGAGGGGCCACATCTGGTGAGGGCCTTCTTGCTGGAGGAAACGCTCTGCAGAGCCCCTAGATGGCGCAGGACATCGCACAGTGAGGGGATTGAGTGTCCTAGCTTGGACGTCTCTTCCTCTTCTTATGAAGCCACCAGTTTCATTCCCAAGATAACCCATGAAATCATTAATCCAGAAATAGGTTAATTCATTCATTAGACTAGAGCTCACATGCACCAATCACCTTCTAAAGGCCCCATCGGCTCAATACGGACACATTGAGGGTTAAATTTCAACACGAGTTTTGGAGGGAACAAGTATTCAAGGCATCAGCCTGTCTATGACAGAAACGAAACTCCCACACAAAAGGAATTAGAGAGGAATCAAGGTACGAGATGGATAACCCTTGGTCTCACCAGGGCTAAAAGCTAAATCTTCTCCTTCATGGATCTAGTTATGTGATGTGACAAATTTAAATTTTTGATTAAGCTGTCTTGAGTTGGGTTATTGCCATTTCCAAGTGAAAGAGCCCTTAGTAATAATGACTGTCATTTTATGGATGAGGAATGTAAGACCCAGAAAGGCTGATTTTTTTCCCCAAGGTTTCCCAGTTTAGAAGTGGCAGAACATTGGTATTTGGAGTAAAATTCAGTTAAATTACCTATATGTGTCCATCCAGCCATTTATCCCAACCATTTATTGCTCTAGCCATCTTTTTTTTTTTTTTGAGTTGGAGTCTCA